AGTTCTCTTTCATAGAAATACGAACAACATACGATCATGTAGAATTTTCAAAGTCCTGCCATTTATACAAATTTCATCCCTCAACCAACAAGCCCACTCTATATTCCCTATTTCACAACATATTTTTTGTCTAACATTGATCAACAAAGACGTATATAATATACTCACGTGGCTCATCGTTTGCTACTTCATTTGTAATTACAGTTTCTGTTGTATCTACTGTCGCTTCTGAAGCAGCTGCACCTTCGTCATCTGAATTTCCATTGATAACAATGCAATCTGGTTTCTGTGGTGGTAAAATCAATATGGAGTCAGTTGATCTCACACTACCTACTAACTCTTCAGGAGAACTATCTACTTGTTGTACCGCATGTTTAGGTTTTGCTTGAGATTTCTCATGCATTTGCGAGGGTCTTTGTTCATGTTCAAGCTTGACTTTAACTTCTTCTGGCTGCCTCATTTTAGTCTTCAATGTTGGCTCTTTCAGATTCTTTTCACATTTAATTCTGGCTTCCCGTTTGGGGCGCCTACCTTCTTCAACGGGCGGGGCAGCTAAGACAGGAGCTGGTGGTGGTGGCATTAAATTGGACGCTTCTGATCTACGCTCAGCGGCTGGTGCTGCTTCACTATTTGCTTTTGACGCTGCCTCCACTTCGGTTGTCCTCTTTCGTGGTATTTGTGCTTCATTTTCTACCGGCAGATTAGGCTGCTCCATTGTTTCGGCAACAGCCAAAAGCTCAGCATTTGAGCGTTTGCTTTTACGTGGTGAAACATGACCTTTGGATAGTTTCCCTCCCTTGTTCTTATTTTTGTCACTTAAGTGATCGATATCTAAATAAAAAATCGTGTTTGTTTAATTTTGATGTTCATAATTTCACAATTATCCTTTCGGCTTACCTTCACATTCCTCCTCATTGAGTGAAGAGAGGCGCTTTACACGCTTCTTTGTCTGTTGGGGTGACGCCGCGGGAATTTCTTTCAAAACTTCTTTGGCTGCTGCCGGTATGGCCGATGGTCCAAACAAAATAGCTCGCAATTTTACTAGCCATTCCTGGTTTACCGAAAACACAAAACAGAATACCCCAAATTATTTCGAAATTTCAAGAATTAAGCATCACCTTTCAAATACCTCTGTCAATTGTTCCAATTCACTAGTAGCACACTCTGTTATATCGTACAGTTGCACTAAGTCCTCCATTTTTCCAATTCGCGAATGCAACTTTTTTAATAACAACTAAATTTTTGCATTTATATTTGGCCACAATTTATCGTTTTTTCTTTATTAATTTAATTGCAGTAAATTCATTAATTTTTACTTCTCTTTCACACACTCATTTGTCTCACCAAGGAATTCGAGCCACGCTCTCCCGACAAACACCGTCTTTAATGGAATACAACACAGCAGTGAAAATTTCAAAAGGATTTAACCGCCATTAGTTATTGTGGATGGTGTGGATGCTATGCAGAGTTGCACGATGTAGTATATGTCTCGTACAGTGTTGTAATCTACGTTTTTAGGGTTGTATGTAGTATACCAACGATAACAATTACTGTATAAAGTAACGTATCGTAACAAATTGGAATGAAAGAAATAAAAAAATAATTTTAGCATTTAAATATTAGTTACTTTATTTTTATTTAAACTCATGTTTATTGAAAATGTCGGACTTTACACAATCTTCAATTATTAAAATGAATGTTTTTCTTTAAAAATCATGCTAGAGCTCATTTATTTATTGTTCTATGAAAATGTAAAATTAAAAATTTAGGAAGCAAATTGTTAAATGAAAAATTTTAAAGATATAAAAGTTTTTATTTATGATTATCAATACATTAACGTAATGTCTTATTACGCCTGTTCGATAACAATTTTTCCTTTATGGTATCGAAAAAATGTAGTAAATGTAAATGTTTTTATTAACTTTGAAATTATAGCCCACAACCATGGCATAATTAAAAAAGGTAGCCTCATTTGAGCAATTGATGATAGCAACCCTTTTTAATTTGGAACTAATCTATCAATGTTAAATAATATAAAAAATAAATTCCATAAAATTTCATGTATATCGATTAACATATTTTCAATAAATTAAACAAAATATATTTTCTAAAGCTGAACATTGCTCTCAAGATTTAAGTAAGGTTGTTACATCATATATTTATCGGGTATGTTCTGGAACTCACAGTGTGTTCTTTTCACTTCACAAATACACTTCACCTCAGAAGCTACCTCCTGTTCTGCTTTCCACGTGAATTGAAATTTTGAACTGCGACAAAAATAAAGTAATAAAGTGTTGCCATACAATATAAACTGTATTCGTCTTTAACATTGTTTCTGTAATTTTTTAGTAATTTCGTTAATTCTAACGATAATTTTATTATTATTTGCTAATATTTTATTATTCGCAACACAAAATATAAGTATGAACAACTCTGTAATATCATTAATTTGTTGATTGATTTAAGGGGAACATTTGGTAACCCTACATTCTTCGGCCTTACTTCAAATCAGCGAGAAATTCAGTTGAAGAAAAATCAAGACAAACCATAGTATCTATTTAAAATTTGTTTTTAATGACGTTTCATGTTTATTTTGTGGTTTTAAACTAATTATACGCAATAACAACATTTCAATCATGTGCCTTTTTTATTTCAAAAAAGATTTTTTTTATATGGAAAAACATGAACACATCCGACTCTCACTATGAAAATGTAAGTGTCAATTTTGAGAAATATTTGTGTTAATCACCGTATCATAATGTTCTGGTGTAAAGTGTGTAAAATGTAAGTGTAAAGATACACCTCAAATGGGTGTAAAGTGTGTTACAGAACACCTCAGCGTGTGTTCGATAAAAAAAAACAACCGTTAACTTTTATTTGTTTTGTTGCTGTCTACCCAGAGAACGGAACAGATGATTGGTAGTTTTTCATCTATCTGGGTAAACTTAAACTGCTGTTGGCTTTGTAACAATACAAAGACTACAGAAACCTAATGCACAAAAAAACAAAAAGTTAAACGGCGTCCATTGCCTGATTTTGATGATATAAATATTTATTGTTTATTTTTTTATTTGTATAATTTAGAGGAAAACCTTATCGAATATTTGGAAGTGGAGATTCCGACGACTCCGATCCCGGAAAGGCTTACATGGCTAGACGCTCCTATAATGTTAATGCTATTGAAATTGGTAGATATTTTGCGAACTAGAACAACAAGATATGGAACAAGTCAAGTTTAGGGGCTCCATTCGGGTCATTTTGAAATGATTACCGTATGTTGCCCTCCTTGTGCGGATTACAGTGATATACATTTCATGTGGGAAAATGCATACTTCCCGAGATATTGGCCTTGAAATTTCGGAACATATTTTGTTTAAAACAACCCTTTTTCTATTGCCACCAAGGCAATATGGGTATCATTAAAAGGTTATACCGGGTATTTTTAAGAGAACTTAAGAATAAGACTTTCACATATGGACAGACTCATACATGGCTACGCAATATATTCTTCATCTAGTTATATAACACAAACCATAACCTTTAAAATGATACGGCTAATTAAAACAACATACTCTCCGAACTTTCAAGGCCCATATCTCGGGAAGTATGCATTTCTCCCCATATAACTGTAATCAGTTCACCGAGGACTACTTACTGTAAAAATGTCAAAGCGATCCAAGTGGAGCCCCTAAACGTGTCTTAAGCCCAAAATATTTTGGTACGATTGACCAATCCAAGTCTTCATTCCATAGTATCTTCATCTGAATCTTCTGCCAGCCATTCATCTTCATTCAAAAGAGAATAAAAAAACTGTCCATTTTTAAATTTCTTATTTGTTTTTTTTTTTTTAAGCAAATGTGTGTGCGTCTGTGCGTGTGTCCCTTTTGTTGAAGCCCTAACTTTCATATGCTTTATTTCGGACTGTATATCTCTGGCAATCAAATGTCAAATTCATAATTTACTACATTTTCGTGCTAGGCCAAATTGGTCTTGCAGAAAAAAGGAGAAGAGAACGCCATTTTGGTTTTAACTCTCTTAAATTTAACTTCAATTTTCCTACTTTTCGGCGTAAGGAAACGCTTTTCTAGCAACAATTGCAAAACTAGTACAATATAGTACTATATTGCAGGTTTGGGAACAGAGCAATAAATTATTTAGAAATTTTTGCCACTGAACACATGATATGCGTACATTTCAAAGGAAGATATTTTCATTAAAAATTTGAAAGCTGAATACTGTCAAAGGCAAATTTATGAATGACTGCATGAGACTACCTTGTATAATTATGCCATGAGCTGATATATATATATATATATATTGCTCGTGGGTTATTTTTTATTATTTTGTAGCACTTTCAATCTTTTTAGGCAGTACTGGATCTCTAACCAAACATTCGAATTTAGCATTCATCTGATTTTGGGTTCTTGTTCAATCATTTTGAACATTACTGTAATCGCTGCTATCTTTAGCACGATAACTTACCTCTTATATTTTGAACATTACTGCGATAGCTGCTAACTTTAGTACGAATAAAACCCAGTAGAACAGACCAATATGTTTAACCTTGGACAGCTTTGATCCAAACATGTAACTGAAATAATGTACTTTGCAACAAAAAATATTATCATACTTTTATTTAATTAACATTTCATACTATTGAAATAGTAAAGAAAATAAATATACGACAAATCGTCAGGTATGAACTACCCTTGTTTTCTTTGTCATTCCGCCAATATTTTTTTATTTGTATAAATTTAATGTAGGAACCTGTTTTATGACAAACAATTTTAAAATTGTCATCTTCCTTTTTTATTTATAAAACAATTATTATACACTTTTTTAAATTTTAATATTTTTACATATTAATTCTATTGATTTAAATTCAAATGTCAATGTATCGGAATTTTCATTTCCGAATACAACTCTGGTGTTGATGACATGTGAAGATGTGAGGTTTTGAGAGAATAGCGCCATTAACATGACAGCGAATTTGCGTGGAAAGCAAGAAAAGGGAAGAAGAAAAACGTAAATTGAGTGAATTAATAAAAATTCGACTCAAAACTTGTAATTTTTCTATTGAAAAATACCAACGAACGCAATAAAATGTCGTTCTAACGCACCCGCGCCGACGGCAAGCAGTTGCAGCAAAAATATCAACCACTTCTCGAAGATACATCAGAATTTTGACAACAAGATAAGTGCAACAAAAGTAGCAGCAGCAGAGGAAGCAAGCATCAAACTTAGAAAACACACACATACCACGACGCACAATGGGACTCGACTTCGATGCGTTGGAATACTGCAAGAGTGTGAAGCATTCGCAGCCACCGTACGCTTGTCCAGTGCCCAAATGTGGTCGCAGTTACAAGACCGTGATAGGTCTGCAGTACCATCTGGTTAACTATGACCACGACAATCCACAGCCACTGACACCGGTGGTGACGCCAAATCGAAAGAAGGCGCGTTCGCGCGGTGCAACACATTCGACACCAAAAGGCGGTGGTGTTGGGGGAACAGGTGCTGCTGGAGCGGATGATGAGCAAAACGGCGGAAATGCCAACACGGCACATTCAATTAATCCCGAATCCTTGGTTTCATACAATGACGACGAACAGAGGGTGACGTTCAATGTGGAGGGTAAAAGTGTTCGTTTGGGTACAAACGATCCTCTGCCGTTTATCGAAGAGGACGAGTATATGGAGCTAGTTGAGCGGGGGTGTATAGTGAATGCCGATGCTCCGCCACTGGAACAGAATGCGGTATGGGCCAAGGTGAAGGTACCGGAAGCACGATTTCAAGAAATCGACAATTACAATGTACCAGATGCTCCGCCCCGAGGTTTGGCATATTATCGCTTTATAGAAAAGTCAGTGGAAGAATTGGACGGCGAAATAGAGTATGATGTTGACGAAGAAGATTCTGCATGGCTGGAATGGATGAATGAGGAACGTGAAAAATCTGGCCACAATCCTGTTAACATCGATACAATGGAATTGTTAATGGACCGCCTAGAGAAAGAATCATATTTTCAGGCAGCCGCAAATGGTACGGCGACTGGTAATGAGGTGGACGACGATGCCGTCTGTTGCATTTGCATGGATGGCGAATGTCAAAATACGAATGTTATCCTCTTTTGTGATATGTGTAATTTGGCCGTGCATCAGGATTGCTATGGTGTCCCATATATACCAGAGGGCCAGTGGCTTTGTCGTCGCTGTTTACAGTCACCCAGTACACCGGTTAATTGTGTATTGTGCCCAAACACGGGTGGAGCATTTAAGCAGACCGATCGCGGTCAATGGGCGCATGTTGTGTGCGCTTTATGGATACCTGAAGTACGATTTGCAAATACTGTGTTTTTGGAACCGATTGGTAAGTATAATAAAACAAGATAAATTATGTGCGAATGGAGAAACACTAGTACTGGAAATGTTTTTAATGCCTCGAAGGAGAAGATTTTCAATTTAAAATAATTTGAGACAAATGTTTAGATATATATTGTATTGCACTTAGTTTTTCACCGAATTAATTAAAGGATATAAGAAATAGAAAATCCTTAATGCTTGAGTATTGCAAATTACAGAGTTTTCGTCCATGTTTGACTCATCAGTATTTTTTTAATTATCAATTTTCTCTTTTTTACTTTTCCAGATTCCATTGAAACAATTCCTGCAGCACGTTGGCGCCTAACATGCTACGTTTGTAAGGAAAAGGGATTGGGCGCCTGCATTCAATGCCATCGCAACAGTTGCTATGCTGCCTTCCATGTAACTTGTGCCCAACAGGCTGGTCTCTATATGACCATGGATGTCAATGAGAGTTCCGGTCACAATGACTCCTCGGCTCATGTTCAAAAGTTTGCCTTCTGTCATTTGCATACCCCAGACAATGCAAAAACCAAATTAAATCTTAAAGACTTTGAAGATGCACGCCACAAAATGAAAGAAGCTCGAAAAGCATTGGCCAAAAAACGCTCATCTGCTCCCGTGGTACTGATACCCACGATACCACCCGATCGTATACAGGAAATTGCGAGTATGGTACACATGCAGAAAAAGAAAGAATTCCTCGATCGTTTGGTTGCCTATTGGACCATGAAACGTAAATACCGGAATGGTGTTCCACTATTGAGGAGGCTGCAATCTCAAGGTAATCATCACGGTGTTATACAACGCAATGGCATTGAAGGTTCCCCGGATACATCGGAATTGTATCGTCAACTCAAGTACTGGCAGTGTCTGCGCCAGGATCTTGAAAGAGCGCGCCTGCTTTGTGAGTTGGTGCGAAAACGGGAAAAGCTTAAGGCTGCATACGTTAAAATATGTGAACAAGTAATAAACATGCAACTCGATCCCTTGGAGACTGTGTTGAGAAAACTATTAGACGCTTTGGAAGCACGTGATACTTCAGAAATATTCCGCGAACCTGTAGATACAACCGAAGTTCCCGACTATTTGGACATAGTCAAACAGCCAATGGATTTGGGTACAATGAGGACAAAACTTGACAATCGACAGTATACCAGCTTGGATCAGTTGCAGAGTGATTTCGATCTAATGATTCAGAATTGCTTGGCCTACAACAATAAAGACACCGTTTTCTATAGAGCTGGTATACGAATGCGTGACCAAGCGGCGCCGCTATTTCAAGAGGCACGAGATGTATTGGCTCGTGAAGGTCTGCTGGACACTAGTCAAGTCGACTCAACAGATCATGTAGAGCAAGAAGTGGAACAGGAATTACAAGAATTGTTGGCAGCCACTCCTTGCGAGGCTATTGTACAAAAATTACTAATTTTGGCAGATAAATCTCAGGTTTTGAAAAATCCCACGTATCGCACAAAGAAAATCAAGCAAATACGTTTGGAAATATCACGAATGCGTAAGGCTATACAAAAGGCTAGAATGCAGGCAGTAAGTATTGACAAATATTAGTATTATTTCATAATTGTGACTATGTAATTTATTTTGAATTTTAGCGACATAATGCCTCAGTAAATTCCCAAACCGAGGATGATGACGAAATGGAAGAAAATCACAATGTGGAAGATATGGATGTTGATACCCCACCTCCGATAAGACCACAACCGCCACAACACCAACCAATTCCACATTTGCAAAAAGTCAAAGATGACCAAACACCGAAAAGGTCACGCAAACCTGCTGCAAGAAGTATAACCACACTTAGACATAATCACCAGCAACGGCATAATCTCAGCGATGACGAAGATGAACATGATAACCACAGTGACGATGAAGATGATACAATGGGTGATGAATCGAAAGGCACTAGTAACAATACAACACAACAAACACCACCAAGTAGTCCCGTTAAGAGTCTCAATAGCAGTGCTTCACCTGTTGGCGTAAATAGAAGGTAAGTTTAATATTAAATATATATGTCATACAACGGAAGAGCCGCATTAACCAAAAAAGAAAAACATACCATTTAAATTGAATTGGATTTAGTAGAAGCATGATATATTGTGTGTAGAAGGGAAGAATATTGAATATTGGAGGCATGTTTCTAGTTACAGACTTTGGTAGTTGCATGATCGTTCCTTCTGATTTCCAGAATATTTACTTTACTTTACAAGAATTTTATTTTGTGTGATTTTTGGATTTATTAACTCTGAGATGTTGAATTTGAGGATTTATTGACTCAGATAACGCCAGATATTTTATTTCTTAAAAATCTAATATTTATTTAAAAAAAAAATGTTTAATTAGTAATTCCCTATTTTGCATAAGATTTTGTTAAATTGTGCAGCTACAAGGGTATAGGAAAAGATAAACCATTAAGTTGTAGTTTTATAGTGATAGTATTGCCATTTTGTGTACTTTTAAAAGGACGGTTGCTAAGAAGATCACATTCACTCTAATTGGAGATTTTCGGTTGAGTTATATATGCTATTGGATAAGTTTAGCTCATCATCGGTTTTCATGCCATTCCAGACAATGAAAACCTACACTCTAAGGATACTGTTGAATATGATAATAATTTAGTTTATAAATATAGTGCACTGAGGTCGGAAACCCTTGTTTTACTTGAGGATTACAATTTCATGGTAAAGATGCGGCCAAATTGTCTTAATAAATTGTTTTATCAAGAGACTATACAGAAAAGAGAAGACTTACTGTATTTTCAAAATCGAAAAATATGCGCCAAATATGGTCTGTCTATACAGGTATATCTGCCTTAAATGGCGTAGTAAAGAATTCTATGTTAAGTGATGAGAAAAGAATGGTGATTGCACCGTATTATATGAAAAGTTTGATATTCAGAATAGCATTTTGATGTGCTTGGGTATGTTTAGATTTTCCCAATCGATTGCCGCCGTATAAGACATGTGGAGGGAAATCCATGAATAGAGTACTATTAAGCTTTTCTGTTTCAGATTGTACTGAGGTATTTGACCCCAAAAAGTGTTCCAATATAACTTGAATGACGATAAAATGGAACTAGATTAGTTTAGGAGACAGTGAATGAAAGGATTGGGAATAGAAAAAAATGAGATATAATTTCGATTCTGACGTTATTATTTACTTCAGCAATTGTTCATGGAATTTTTTTCAATCTGTAAACGTCGCGTATATTTAATAAAGTGTAAGACTACGTACATGCTCAATTAAGAAAAGACCATTTTCTCTCGGAATTTAACCTCAGCATTTCCAATTCGTTTTTGAAATATCGTTCATATATCGCATACTATTTAAAAATAACTTAACATTTTCACACATGCCCAACAACATTCACCAAAGTGCAACATTACGAGATCTTAGCTTCTGATGACCAATCAGCAGTAAATCATCAAATAATACATTACAAACCTAGTCCATATTCCATTGCCAACCAACCAACCAGTCATTTATCCATTCATTTATCCATCCATAATCCCACTCCACACTTTTTTTTTAAACATTCACATTCCCTAAAACTACTATGAAATTGTTAAATACATATGTAACGAATTTAACGCACGTTCTATTACAGAACTGCGGTGCTGTTTACACGTAAAGCGCAGGCCGCTCTAAAACGTCCCACGGATACATCAGCGTCAACGACGGTAACGCCAGTAAAAGAAGAGAATCACAACGTTATTACCAATGCCTCACAAATTTCTACCTTGGGTTCGCTCATCACAGCCGTGAACAATAACGCCTCGACCACGTCTGCGTCCGTGACACCATCATCTCTCATCACGTCTGCCTTATCGATAAGCAATAAGCTGAGCGGTGGCCTCAATCAATTATCACCGTTATCGGCAAGTTTAAATCAGGTGTCCACATCTCTGAATGTGAAATCTCCGAAGCGGAACGCACGTCACAGACGTCTGAATGAAATGCGCAACAGTGGTTCGGTGTCACCGAAAAAGTCCCCCAATCGAACTTTGACGGGACTGCTTACAACATCTGCGACAGCACCATTAACATCATCCGCCCAAAACAATGCTACCGCACTGAATACTGCAACACCGACCATATCCCTGCCACCAGCCACAAGCTTGAGCAGTTATCAGCATATTCCCGATACATTTCGTGTTTATCGAACCAATAATGAACGAGATGCCAGCGACAGCGATGATGACGACATGAGTGACATTTCAGGAAGTCCGTGTAGTAGTTGTTCTGGCATCTCAGGAAGTGGGACTGGCTCCGATTATGATTCTAGCGATGATGATGACGACGAAGACGACGACGATGAAGAGGAGGACGACGACGCAGATGCCCAGAATGCCGATGACTACAATACCCGTGATAAACCGGATATTGAAATGAATGATAGTACGACTATAGGCGATTCAGCAACAGGCGGGAACAATGGCCAAGCCATGAGCTGTAGTGGTGATAGTGATACCGACGGTGCTGTCGCACCGGCTGGTCGATTAAGTCGTGCTGGCAATGATTCAGATACTCAAACACGGAGTATAACGAGACGAACACCAACTCCTCTGGATAAGAGACAACGAGGTGTTGGGCGGCCGAGGACAAAGAAAAAGCTCGCGTCCTCACCCCAGGCAAGAACAACAACACCCCCGCCATCTGCTACTGCACCAGCTAAAGCATCAACTCGTTCCGCATCCAATAGACCAGCAACACGTACGGCTACACCAACGCCAAATAATGTAAATAGTATGAAGACACGAAAGGCGCACAATGCCGCCTTAACCAATGCCAATAACAGTAGCAGCATGAACAGTAGATCGAAATCCAACCACATAAATTCGACGGCCACGGCGACGTCAGCTGCCCTTGATATGGCAAATTCGAATAGTACGACAGATAATTTATTGAAACCTCCTCTCGAACCATTACAGCTGGTCTGGGCAAAATGTCGTGGCTATCCTTGGTATCCGGCTTTGATTCTTGATCCCAAGACACCGAAAGGTTTTGTCTACAACGGTGTTCCATTGCCAGCACCGCCCAGTGATGTATTGGCTTTACGAAAAAACTATCCCCAAGATTTAGAGGTGTTTCTGGTTTTATTTTTCGATGCCAAACGAACATGGCAATGGCTGCCGGCCAATAAATTAGATATACTTGGTATTGACAAAGAGCTCGATCAACAAAAGTTGGTGGAATCACGCAAACCGACCGAAAGAAAAGCCGTAAAGAAGGCCTACCAAGATGCCCTACATTATCAAAGTCAAGTATCCGATTTGGAGGGACAAGGGCCGGATCCGATTATGTGAAAATCAAGAAGAGAGAAGTAACTATTCTACAATTGCCTCATCGATGATCTAACTTACCGCTGTGCTCTTCATCTTAATATCAACAATAATAAGAAAGTTTAAACTCTGATTTTCAGGTTCAGATCCTATTTCCTCCTACATATGTATGTATGTGTATGGTTTTTAGATTATTTTTCTATATTCATTGTTGGTTTCAATGCAAAAAAGTGTCCCAATAATTAGTTAGCATTGCAAGCACTTAACACGGGCGAGTTCTTCTTATGTTTTATGTTGGTGTTGTACAGAGAGACTTGCCCAAAGGCCCGATTTTGTGGAAACCACCCCTCATCATTCGTTGTGATCGATAATTGCTCTCATTTTGTTTATTTTCTGTTTTATTAAGTTAAATTAACATTAAAAGTGAACAGATCTAAAAAATATACTTCATAATTAAATCACAATTTTAGATTCCCAATTTAATTGAAACACACACACATATACACTCCTTACTAACATTAGTTCTTGTTTGTTAAATTTTATTTAAGAAAAAAAAAACCAAAACAAAATAAAACTCTAGCTTTCAATCTCTATTTTTTCTTGAATGCAAACATTTTGTATATATATTCTATTCATTTGATTTATATTATCTACTCAAATTCAATTTGAGCTACTTATTTCTTTCCTTTCCCTTTGGACACGTTAAGTTTGGCAAAACAAAACATTTGTTGTTACACAAAATTTCGTATTGTATTGATTGTGTTTTTCACCTTTTATGATATATATTTTATGTATTATTATTAGCTATTCCTCCTTTAGTTGCAGTTAAAATTAAAAAACGTACGTATCTTAGTTGTAGCATTTAAGATATTTTGTAAAATAAAAAAGCAAACAAAAAAGAAACAGAACGTGTAAATGTAACTGCAGCTTTTTTATTTGAATTTTCAATTGTGTGGTGAATAAAGAAATACATTTTGGGGGAAGTTATAAACCAATTCAAACGTTTACGTGCAAAGTAGAAATAAAGCCTGAAGGCATATTTTGATAGCAGGTTATGAAATGTCGACTCCTTGAATTTAAATTACCATATCCCGTGTATGCCAGTTCATTTTCCAATGCTCCGGTTGCGGCGCTGTCGTTTTTGAAACCGTACCCCAAATAAATAAACTTCAACACTGGACTTTGAGAACAATGAAATGTTGTGTGAAAAAATTCTTAAAATTATGACTGTTTCCTCGATTTCGGGATTTTAAAAATCAGCAATTGAGAAAGCAAATCTTGCACACTTTACAGCCATGTTAAGTTAGAATATGGGAAATTAAATCTCTTGGTCGTTAGATCTGGAATACAATGTTATACCACGGCAGACAGGATTTAAACACAAATTAAACATAAGATCTGAAACGACCCCAAGTCTCACTCGGACAGCCCATATCATCTTGCTACACCAACAATATTTTTGAGCTAGACCACATGGTGACTGATAGGGACCATGTGGTCTAGCACAAAAAAGGTTCGAGCCTCAATAGAAATCTAAAAGATTTTGGCTACATATTTGAACATATTGACTTCAAAATAGTATTTATGCTTATTTGTGGATAAAACCCACTTTGTAAACTTTTCGAATTAAAAATTAACAGTCTATTGAAGCTTTTTATGAGGGAAAAATGTCATCGATCAACAACTTGAATATATCATCACACATCCAAATTTATTTTTTATTAATAAATTTTTTTAATGCCATCCATTAGTTTTTAGAGATCATGTATTGAAAAAAATTACTAAATTCCTCTGCACACATAGTGTACTTTTCCCAATCTCCCAAGTAAAATTTGAACCTGAAAATATCAATCTTTTAATTTTCTTCTCCGATAAGTAAATAATAAATAAAAATATAAACATTTTATATTTTTGCAGATTATTAAATGTTTTTGATAAAATGAAATTCTTTAAATTTTGGCGCAACAATTGACATCGGTAAAATAATAATTACACGGACATCTTTTAGGCAATTAAAAATAGTTATTTTCGAAAATTTCACATAAACGTATCTGTTATGGAGAGATAACACTGTAAATTTCTTATGCATATTTGTTATAGATTTTTATTTTTTTATTTTCAGATCTCATCTGAAAATCAAACATAATAATATTTGTTATAAATAAAAATAAAATATTTTTTAAATAAGTTTTTCTTAAAAAATATATTTATATATTATTTGGGATGTATATTCATTTGTTTGGAATGTTTTAATTTTATTTCAAAAACATACAAATTAAATGCATTCCAAAAATAAATTCTAAATGTAACCATATTATTAAGTACCTCGTTTTCTTTTTACTTTAACTTATAATAATCGAGACTTTTAGGATATTATTATAAGGCTTTATTTCGGAAAATAAGATAAAAATAAAATGTAATTGTAATTAGCGATAAGTTATAATACAAATAATTTTTTTTTTTAATTTTAATAGTGTTTTAGGACATTTCTTTCAAAACAATCAAAAAACCGAAAATCGATGTGTTTTTGTTTTGTTGCATCCAACATCCCAAATTATAAATTGTAACAAAATTAAACATTTCATTTTGTACATTATTAATTAAAATATAAGCTAAAAACATGTGGTTACAATTTAATTATGATAATAGTTGTTTATTGATATTAGCAAGTATATACAGACACACACACAAACAAAACAATTAACAAATTAACACAAAAAAATAGACACCAAGAAATTAGTAATAAATCAATCAAATTTAATCAATAATTGTAATATTTTCATTCAAGATGCTCTTAAAATAAAAAAAATAAACTAAGTGTTAACGAAATATGTATAGATGATTAATTTTTCATGTGTGTTAAAAACCAAACATGTAATTGGCGAAACCACAAACGATTTTACATACCGTAAAATGTAAAAATTTCGATTCCAATATTTGTTTCAGATATCTACACCTGGTTGGTTGTTATTACTTTATTACAAAATTGACTGATTTTCATGTTGTTGTTGCAGCCCTATTGCTATTACACAATGGACTGAAGTGACAGACGTTGGCCCAGTGAGACTCGGGTCGTTTCGGATCGTAGACCCCTCTGTCTTGGAAACGAAGTGTAATCATTGTTGTGGTTAATTGTTATTATAGCAATTAAAATACACAAATACCATTCTTTAGTCCAGTTTTGTCTTCTCTGCTTTCAAATTCAGGAATTTTACAATTTTGACAGAGTGAATCCCGAACCATATGCATGAACTTTTTCCAATATGTTGGGGTTAATAGTTTTTGTAGCAGGAATATGTTTGAAGTGATGCGATTGTTGTTGGATGAGTGAGTTCAGATGCTTTCGGATCGTAAACCCCACTTTTGTTTAGGCGTGATATGGGTGATAAACATTTTCATGCTTTGGTGGGTATGGTTGGAGTTTTTAAATCAATAGTATGTTAAATACTGCATTAAAATAACGTAGCACCCATGTAATGATGGTTATATTTTTTTAAGATGTGTTGAGAAATGTATCCCAATTTCTATTGTGTCGGTAGGGTATTTGTAGAAGCGGGTGGCCTAGAGAATAAAAGCTCGTTGTATTATGGCAGGACTAGAGATGGTATTTACCGGGTAAATACCCAAGGGGTGGGTAAATACCCATTTGCGGGTATTTATTTGGGTATTTACTATATTGAATCGGTAATACAACATCTTACACCCTATTTCCGGGTTTCTGTTATCAGATCGATTTAGAATGGATAGTTTTACGATACTTTAAAGACGTGGGTAAATACTTGGGTAAATACCCGAGTTTTTACCCAAAAATTGGGTATAAACTCATTAACTACCGAACCACTTGACATAGGCGGCCAACATTTTACACACATGTTTTTAATGTCAAAGCAAACATAGGAATCCAAAAATGGGGTCCCTGGGTCCAAGTTTTGATATAGCCCCTATATATTCCTATCTCCCGATTTAAGGTATTTTTTGCCTATTAGACACATTTTACAAATTGGCTGTAATTTGGCACAGAGTGTTCTTTTTGGGTACCAAATGTCCATGCAAAAATTTATGTATGTAGGTCCACGTTTACTGGTAGCCCCCATACAAAGGTACCCCTATTTTGAGTATTTACCCAAAAATTGGGTATAAACTCATTAACTGCCGAACCACTTGACATAGGCGGCGAAAATTTTGCATACATGTTTTTAATGTCAAAGCAAATATAAAGATCTGTTTAAATTTAATTTCGTCTTTATTTACTTTGTAATTGAAGCCAAATTACAATTCAATGGCCCATTTATATATAATTACAAAGAATCCACCTTAAATCATAGCTACTCTAAAACAAATTCTTATAAATATAATATGTTATATATTTTAAACATGTTTAAATCTGCATTACATCATGACTACTCAAAAACAATAAAAACAATATTTGCTACACCTTGAAATATTCCCCGGATACCCCATAAAGTATATATATTCTTGATCAGAATAAAAGTCTATGCCATGTCCGTCTGTTGAAATCACGATAGAGATAGCAACATTTAAAATAGAAACGTTGTCCCTCTAATATTCGATATTTTGGGGATTTTGGAGACGTTTGGAGAATTGATATTGGGTACTCATTACATAGTACATCTTCGTGCTGAATATTATATACTTCTCATATTCAGTATTTTAGGCACGTTGATAGGTGTGTCTGGTTACTTTTCAAGTAACATTTATTCAGTAAGTTCTAGTTCAGAGAGTAAGCCTTTTTTACTCACTTTTGCGATAATACTGAGAAAAGTAAACAGACAAAATTTAGTAAGATTTAGCAAATAAACAGCTGATTCAAGAAAACATTTGATTTGCGCCAAAATAAACAACAAACAAATGACGAACACAATTTTTTGTATTGCATTTAATATTAAAAATAAAATGAATAAAACGGCGTATACATTAGAACTTTTTACCTGGTTAACCTACTTTATGAGGATTTATTCGACATATATTCAAGGAATTGATAATTGAAACCCACTAGGGTAACGAAATCCGGTTAAATGTAAACGTACTATAATAAAAGAAAAATTGATTTGATATGTTCCCCGCGAACATTTATGCTTTCTGCATCAAAACATTGCCCTCTATCTGGAACTTACCTAAAAATATATAAGGAATTAGTTTCTAATTTAATGAAACTTTGCATTACTTACGAGTTTTCTTCCATTTTCTGTAATTTTTATACAACTTATTTTCAAATTGATCTTTGCAAATTAAAAAAAATAGCTCTGTCTGTTTACTCGATATTTGGTAACAATTGTTACCAAATGTTACTAAATGTTGTCTGTTTACACAAAAATCCAGTAAAAGAGAGTCAAGTGAGAGAGCAAGTTTGACAGTTCAACAAGAACAAACTTACTGGAGTTTACTGAAAGAATTTTATGCAGTAAGATTTTGCAAAACTCAGCGTTTTTGGATCATAACATGAGTTTTCTCCTAGGAGCCCCCATTAATTTTTCATATTTTGAATGTCATTTAATGGAAATTGTAAAATTTGATATGGATTTGGATTAAAAATACGTAATTTCCAATTTGATTAATGGAAACAGCTATTTTTTCAGAAACCTAATGCTTTTGGATCGGTTTTCAACCGATCCGGTCTAATGTTATTCTATATGGGTTTCGGTAATTCTATGCCGCCGCTTTAGTAACGTTTCGTTAACGTTTCTATCAATTCAATTACTTTTTACAGGGATATATGTATGTACATATCTTACCGGTTTAAAAATGTCTAATTAAATACCGTGAACATAATTCAATAAATATTATGGGGGGTACCAGCAGAAGTAGAATATTATGGGTTTCCAGCTGATCTAACTATTTTTTATAGAGCAAATACATAATATTTTGAATATATTCGTTGACTTTTTTATTTCTTCGCATTTCGTGCAACGAAAACGCGTTTCATCCTGCGTGACTATAAATAGTCTTTTGTCCCATTTTAATACCATTTTCGAATTTAATTTTTCAAGATTTTCAATGGGCTGGTAAATCAATACCAATGGTTGTTAAGCTTTGTAACTTTGCACATATATAATTTAAGATTTAAAAGAGAAGGAAAATAATTTACAAAAAAATTTTGTTATTGTTTTGTTGTTGTTTTTTTTTTTTTTGTAGTTAAAGAAAAGTCCTTATTTTTGATGGCGGGCATTATAACTCCTCACTGGAACATCGGAATCCGAAAATTCCAACGGTGTTAGAAAGAGTACATGTCTGGCTCTCGTATGAACTAGGATTATTGACTTCGCTCTAAAATTAACAAAATGGTGGACCTTTGAAAAAATATTTTTGGAAAATCGCCGATTTCTTACCAAAAACCAAGTTAAAAAATAAGGAAGATCTTCACCGATTGGCTTTATCCTAGTTCATACGATAGCTATACACTCACAGAAAAACGTGTAAAAATTCGATTGGGTTATTAGTTTTTGAGTTATCGTGCCCGCCATTCACAAAAAAATGTTTAGAGAAAAACGCGTTTTAAGTTTGAGAAGCCCTTCTGCCGTCACTTGATGCTGACACAATAAATCGGCTATATCTTCAAGAGTTCTTGAGATTTTCACTTGAAATTTTGTAGGGACATTCATTAATTAGTGTAGATTCGAATTATATCAACAAAATTTTTGACCCCGAGAATGGGGGGGGGTCCCTTAAGTAAAGAAATGCCACTTTCTAGTCATTTGATATTTTATTTTCATATACTATTTAAATCTCCAGACATGAACAGTGCTAAAACCTTTATTTTCTATGCAACAGTTCTCCGTTAATTCATATGTGGCAAGTTTATGCATGAATTTCAAACGATTTTCGGTTATACCATGGCGACCAGGATCTCCAATTAATATAATTTTGCCATTGGTGCTCAACTTTTGTAACCATGGTAAGAGAATTTCAGCAATTTCTTCATCATAAAAAAGGTCGCCAATGAAGACAATATCTTCGGCTACATTTGAGCCAATTAAATTATCTTCGGATATCAGGATTTTGCTTGTATCAATTCGATTTAGTTGAGCGTTCATTAAGGCCGCAATGCCAGCAACTAAAATATGGAAAGGCAGTTTTATAATTGAAGTCATAAATCAAGCCTATACAAAATTAATTACCTTCATCAATATCATTGGCTATGGCATATTTGGCTGACTTTAGTATGGCAGCAATGGATGTTGCACCGCAACCACTACCCACATCTAGCACAGATTTGCCATTTACAAGTTCCGGACTTTCCAAAACATATCTGAAATTATTTTGTTAATATAACATATAAATATATAACTCAAATTATTAGTTTTTACTTGCTCAGGGCCTGACCACCTGGCCAGTAGAATGCCCAGAAGGGATCATTCTTAAAGACTTTATTTTCTTCATCCAGTTGAGGTTCATAGAACAAACGACATTCTTGTGTGATCAAATGTAGGGCTATATCTGGTGTAAGATGTTGACGTGAGATTTTAGTTTCTCTCAAAATGGTTTGCTCAATATCTCTGCGTTGTGGCAATCTAAAAAGAAGAAAAAGAAGAATTCATTACATAAATTGGGATATGGGTGTTATACTAAAATATTTACAGTGGTTTACGTACATATTACATATTCTAAAATTTTAAATTAGTAGTTTTATTGCCACAACAGCGGGTGTATACCACGTGAAATTTTGCCAAAGCTCCGTATAAAATTAATGTCCATTTATTTGGTAGTTTATGACAGGGTCGGTCTCGCATGTCTTTATTGCTCCGTTTTTTTGTTATATTGCTCGATATTGCAACATATAATTTAAATGTTAAAACTCATATGTATGATTACATTGTAGTATTATTCGGTAAATTTGTGATATGGCGAAATGTAAACATACTGCGTCCCACCTTAATATACACATAACCTAATTTATAAACTACTAGCTGAACCCGTGGCGCTTCGCTGCCCCTACTAAAGTTATTAACATTGGATAGTTAACGTCGAAAACTATTTGTAGTTATTTCGTAGTGTATCAGTAATAATTTCGCAGCAGCCGGTCTATGTATTAGTATATTTGATTCTATTCAATTGATTACAAATACATTTTTAAATAATCTTTGAATAACGGTGGTAATATTAAAAATAAATTTAACTTGACTTTTCTAATCAGTTGTAATTGTACCATACACAAATATATTTTCTCCAATATTTACATGTTTTTCATTATTCGTTCCAAGACCGCTTCAATCCTTTATTTACATTACAGCAATTTTTTATGTCTGTATTCTCAACTATTGCCCCATGATATGATTGGGATCCCTTTCTCACTCCGATTAATATCGCTTAGATACCTGACATATGATCCTTGTTAAGTTTGAGTTGTGTATTTTTAATTGTTTCATTACCAAGAAAAATTTACAATAATCGCCCATGTGACATGTTCCGAGAGTTTTTGAATTCCCATACTCTTTTAAATTCCCATGTTGTGCAAAATGGTGTGCTCAATTTCGAGCGAAAGTGCGGCTCGAAAGCATAGCTGTGTTCCATATGTTACGAAATGCAATTTGTTTAACAACAAAATTAAGAAAAAATATGCCTGCTGGCTTATTAATTGCCCTGGTTTCTAGCAGAAAAAGTCTAATGATACTGGAAGGTGTTAAAATAAGCATTTATGGATATTTTGAGAGAAGTTTGTCCTTTCATACACAAGGGTACCATTCCCGAAAGCCTGCAGTTAACAGGTATCTTAAGATTTCTGGCTGTTGGTGGGTTTCAGATGGTAGTGGCAAATGATTTAAATATAAGTGTTGATAGCACAACAATGTGTAAAATATTGTGGAGAGTAATGCAAGTCATGAAAGACAAAGTGTGTGCAAGCTGTTGACAGCTGCAGACCAGGATCCAGACATGATGCTTTTATTTGGCATATGAATGCAGCTAGGCAGCATTAACAAAAGAGGAAATGGTACGCAAAATAGTTGGCTTCTATGAGACAGTGGTTACGCTTTAGAAACATTTTTTGACGCCCTATAAACAAGTGGAGCATGGATCTTGTCAACATCGATATAATAAAGTGCACACATCTGCAAGAAACATTATTAAAAGGACTATTGGAAATCTTAAAAGTAGTTTTTTTATAGATTCTATTTTTATTTTGATCATATGGTGGTTGAGTTGCAAATTGATCTCAAAAATGTTGCGCGCTCTTTTTGATAAAAGGATCCCTTTTTTATTTTCTTTAGTTTTACTATAAAAACTAATGTAAATACTATATTTTTTAAATAAATATTGTAAAAACACGTTAAATATTACTTCAGCTTTCTTTTTCAACTTGTACGTACTCAGAAAAAACACGTACGATCTCATTTCGTTTTCAATCCACAAGGCTATATGTGCTCGAATTATATTCCCAATATTTTTTTTCGGAATTCGGAATGGAGCACACCAAATTTGGGAAAATGTTTCACATTCGAGCAAACTCGAAATGCAGCACATGGGCGACAGTGTAAATCTCATTAAGATCTGTTCAGCGGTTTTGCGTCTATCGGTAACATACAAACAAACAAACAAACAAACAAACAATTTTTTTTCTATTTTATATATATAGATATTAAAAGCATATTTCGTTTTCTTCCGAATTAAACCCAAACCCAAAACTATTTTAATATTCTTAAGTCGTTTGTATTTTGTTTTGCGCCGCCTAATGATCACAAAATATATTTCCTATTTAGTTGTATGCAAATATTCTATATAATTCCAGTCATTTCCAATGAAATCTTTAAACGAAGTCGTCTTCAATTACACATCTGAATCCACTAATAGTCATAATTAAGGTTCAATAATTTTTATTTAATGGAATAAATGGATGGTGTATGGTGTTGGGTTATTTAATATAGAGTACGTGCTGCAGTGCAAGTACGGGTAGTCGTATGGTAGTACACCACTTAACTGACGGCTGATGGTGTAGTACAAACTACATACATACGAGTATGTGTTATTTATTCATGCTCTACGCGCAATTATAGAAGTGCGTCCAATTCATAATTGACCATGATAAAAAATTAATAAACAAAATATTTTTCTTGAGAATCGTTTAACATGAATAGACAGCCTGATCCCAGATACTTTGGACAAGGAAATAATTCTAAAGAAATATTTTATGTACGAGTATTATTGAGAAAATTTTTCTTTCCTTTGAACAAGTTTGATTTTATGCTTAGATATAATCATGTATTAAACTCAGGGTGAGATTAGCCATCTAGAGTTAATTGTGTTATATTAAAAGTACTGCAACATTTTCCAAATATTGGCCTATAAATTAAATATACGCTGACACAGTGGCAATGTATAATACACAATAAAAATACACATTTTTACCGGCATTGCTATAATTTTTGGTATTCCAAATGGGATATATCAGTCCACGTTTTGGTGTATATAACGTGTTGGGTCATATAATTTTCAATATTTGATATGTTGGGCAGTTTTCCCACCGAATTGGCTGTAATTTGGCACTTTGAGTTCTCATCGTATTGCACATCTCCGTACCAAAAATTATTAATATTGAGGGTAGCCCCCATATACCGGTACCCCACAATATTCGGTATTTTGTAAACTTTTTTCAACCGAATTAGCTCTAATTAACTAATATTGACCCAAGTTTTAGTGTATCACCCATATAACGGTACCTACCAGTATTCCGTATTCTAGGGATCTTGGACACGTTTTTTAACCGAATTGACTTTAATTTGATATTTTGGGTTCTCCGTCCAAAAAATTATTAATATTGACCCAAGTTACAGGGTAGCCCCCATACAGTGTTGCCAAAACTTGATTGAGAAAAAATGCTAGATTTTGCTGAAAAATATGCTAGAAAGTGCTAAAAATTTTAGAAAAGTGCCAGAAAAAAGTGCTAAAAATGAATTTAAGAAAATTTGATTATAGTTTATAATGATATCTATCCTTCTTAAAATTTAAATTAATAGCTATGTTGTGAGGGTATTGCAAGTGTTTGTGTTTCAATAGTTTGTAACGAAATATTGGTCCTGGACTTACATTTTGGTATACGGATCGTTATATCCCGAATAGCTGAGATGTATGTGACTTTCCGTATGCCCATTAACATTTGTAAACAAAGTAACGATCATAGCTGTGAAACAATTGTCACGATATTCTGCATATCCGGTTCTGGCCAGTGTCTTCATTGGTATTGTGTTTGGTAAGAACGGTCAATATTTGGCTGTTGAAGTCAACAAAATCATTTTATATTTGTTTTTGGTCTCTCTAGAGGTCTCAAAATTGTACATGGGGAAAATGCTAATAAGCATATTGAGCAAGTCAAATTGACCCAGACTTTTGTTTGAAAAAATACAAAATTGCATTATATGCTCTTCACATTTATTCTAGAAGGGCAGACACCGTGTGTGGGAGCTATACGTAAATATTTACAGGGGTATATCTATTCTAATAATATTTTGTATTACCATTACCGCACTAGATTATAGCTATACAATTTTGCATAAAGGTTTTGTTTTGTTGAAGCGCGACATCTATCGGTTTTGAACGAATGATATTTAGAGGAGTAAATAATACAAAAAAAAATCTAAATGCACTTTTATAACCCGAACACCAATAAATACGGGAAATCTAGTCAACGAAAAAACATGGCTGCTTTGATAATGATCTGTCAGACATTGCTAGTACTCCTTGGATGTTTGGTATGGCAAATGTCATATGTCGGTCTAAGTATTGGTCTAGCCCTCACATAAGGGTCCCCCAATATTCGGTATTTTGGGGATTTTTGACACATTTTCCAATCGAGCTGGCTGTAATTTATTATAAAGTTATACAAAGTTCGGCCGTTAACATAATTTTTTACTTGTTATATTCTGATAATGTAGTATTATTACAACACCAGGAGGTGGTTATTAAGCAGAATTTTTCACCGACACGGAAATTAGTTTCGCAGAAAAAAAATAAAGTCTTGTGGTAGTTTCATAATGTATCATATGTATAGCCCCGTGGACTATACCACCATGTTAAACATACGGGAACTTCAATGTGTCGATGTGAAATCGAAAAACTACAATTTTTTTGGAGTGATACTAAAAATTTTGAAAAAATGTTGGAACAAATTAAAATGCTAAAAAAGTGCTAGTTGCTAGATCAATTTTTTTTGGCGCTAAACGAGTTTAAAAAGTGCTAAATCTAGCACTAAAAGTGCTAAATTGGCAACACTGCCCCCATATGACGGTACTCCCCAACACATGATATTTAGCAGATTTTAGACAGGTTTTCCAAGCGAATTGGTTGTAATTTGGTATTTTAGGTTCTCATTAAAACACATATCCGCACCAAAATTTATTAATATTGACCCAAGTTTCAAGGTAGCCCCCATATAAGGGTACCCCCAATATTCAGTATTTTGAGAATTTTTACAGGTTTTCTAACCGAACTTGCTGTAGTTTGGTATTTTGCGTTCTCATCGTATTGCACATCTCTGTACAAAAAATTATTATTATTGACCCAAGTTTCAGGGCAGTCCCCATATAACGGTACCCCACAATATTCGGTATTTTGGGGATTTTGGACACGTTTTCCAACCGAATTAGCTATAATTAACCAATATTGACCCAAGTTTCAGGGTATCACCCAGATCAGCCATATTCGGTATTCTAGGGATCTTGGATACGTTTTTTAACCGAATTGACTTTAATATGGTATTTTGTATTTTCATTGGCTGTTATATCTCACTACCAAAAGCCCACTATTAGATATCCCCATTTTTAGATATTTTGAGAATTTCAATCATCTTTCCTCACGTATTTTTCGGTATGTTCAAAGTCCTATCATAACACGAGTTTTCAGAAGCCCCCATTAATTTTAGATATTTTGATTGTCATCCTTATAGTGGAGGGTATAAAAATATACATGTCGGATATGGCTAAATTGACATAGAATTTTACTTGGTATGGATGTGGTGTCCGACAAATATTTCATAGTGTTGCAAACAGAATGGTACATATTAAATAAACTCCAACCTGGTGGAAATACGTCAAGATTTAACAAACCTCGTAATTATATTAGATGCCTCGTTGCTAACGCTTAACAAATCCATATATTTATATCATGGTATTTATGTATTAATTTGTGCTTTTCATTTCAGAATATTGTGTGAATGGAATAAAACATACTCGTAGGAAGAGGCCTTGCCTAGGTTCAAGAAACATTTCTGGCAAACTAATTGTATCTTGCATAGTGATCAAACATAAATATGCTTAAAAAAATTTTCTAAAAAATATAGCAGAATGATGAATTAGTTACCGTAAGAATGTAATAAACAGTCTTCAAACGTTGTATTTAATATATTTTTTTGTGTTCAATTTTTAAATGACTATATATGTATGTATATGACAATGGTAAGTTTTTCGAATCGACGATTATCAATTTAGAAACACTAAATGTGAATTACCTACCGGTGTCAAAAAAATTAATATAATTTTATGATTTAATTCGAATATACACTAATTCACTGTCCATACAAAATTTCAGGTGAAAATCTCAATAACTCTTGAAGATATAGCCGAATTATTTTGTCAGCATCAAGTGACGGCAATAGAGATTCTCAAACTTCAAATGCATTTTCTCGAAGCAGTGTTTTACGAATGACGAGCACGACAACTCAAAAACTAATAATCCAATCGGTTCCAAATTTTGATACGTTTTCTGGGAGTGTATAGCTATCGTATAAACTAGGATAAAGCTAATCGGTGAGCAAGTTTTTAGGGTCTTTTCTAAATGTTTATAATTGTTTGTACGACGAACATTCAAAGCATCAAATTGTAGTAACTTCGCGTAAAAAACATGTCCACACTCTTTATTTTTTATGAAAAAGGGATGTGGAAAGAGCACGATACTATTAATTCAATCGGTTACAAATTTTAGCACGTTATTTTGAACGCACTATGGGTTTAATGGCAGGTTTTGAGGTAACAAATCACTGCAAGCAGCTAGAGCTTTCAAATTTTGTTCGGATGTTTCTAAAACGAATGAAAGCACCTCTGAAAAATTTGAGAGGAATTGGTTCATTTTTATTATTTTTAATGCGTAAAGTTTTATACCCTCGAGGGAAAGAAATTGTTTCTTCTTACAAAATTTTACAGTGTACGAAGTGGCACCTTTGACGGCTCATCATGATGAGGCGTTGCCATGTTGAACTGATTTTATTTTTGAGGGGCCCAAAGTGTTGTGAATCTCATTCCATTAACATTTTATTCAACTATGTCTTAAAAAATTTATTTTATTGCCGCAGAAACATACCTATAGTGAATAGGTGACGAAAAAACAATCATTGACCTATATACATTACTTTTTTAATATATCAATAGGAACACATGTGTCACTTTAAATCTAATTTTCTAAAACTTCCAATTTTTTCTATAAGTCAATTAGTATAAGTATAATTACTCTGTCTTTATGTTTCACACCGATAAGATTCCAAATCAAAAATATCGACAATTTAATCGTTCTTATAAGTCCACATATTCAGATTTCTAAGAATATTGTAAAATTTATTGAAGTGGTCTTTTTTTTAATTTAACCTTTACAGGGCCCGTCTTTACTTCCAGCTAATGTTGAATGAAATTTCCCATTGCCAAAAAACAATGATTTGCATACGTGCCGATAAAGCTGTTGCTAAGGTATTTTCGGTTATTTTCAAAATCGAAACCAAAGTCCGCTAACGTCCAAAAGCAAAGTTACTTTCATTCTTTTTTTGAGCCAATCAAATTTTTGGTGTACGTATTTTTGACCACATCCATGTCGAAGACAATTTAACACCTACCCCAGCAACAACAAAAAAATATGCTGATCGTCAAATAAAAAAAAACGTTCAGTAAAATAAACGTCATAATCATAACACACAATAATCAATTGTTAACGCTTTCAAACGCTGTTGTTGGTTTAAAGTGAATTTTGATCATTTAATTCGAAAAGCGGGGGGAAGACTTTAATGAAAATTAAAAATGCAAAGTCAAAACATTTTTTGTCGGATAAAAATAAAATTCCAAGAATGACTCAAAAATGAACGTTTGGCATGAAATTCCGATGAATCACACGAAATTTGGTCAAAACGTTGGGAAAATCTGAGTAGAGCAACGCCGTCGCCGCCGCCGCTAAACCGGTAACAATTTTAATTCAGACCTGTTTGTTACTAAATAAGTCAATATTTAACGCTCGCGCTAATAATCTCTCTTGAACTTTAGCATTGAATGTTGAAATAAAATTCGAATAGTTGTTTCGAATAAAATCGCATATTTTACGACAACGACCATGTTTGGCAGAGAGCGATCTTCGGTTCGTTCGTTCGAACAAACGTATTTCTGTTGTTGTTGAACCATACAACACGTTGTTTATATCACGTGCGATATTTTATGAATGAAATACTTTTTTTTTACACACGAACATACATATTTACAAACGTTTGAGTGCTGTGTGATTGATGTGTATCATCCTCATGCGGCAAATTCGATAGTGTGAAAAATTCCCACACGCTAAAATTGTATTTGAAATGTCTATGTACAAATAGACAAACATGGCATGACTAGTGCCAATATTAGTTAAGAAAAAAAAAAAACAAATGGTAACAAATTTGGAGAATTCTGGAACGTGCCAGGTTCACAATTGACGTAACAACAAAAACACCACAAACTTTGGGAAATTTTGAGACATTAATTTCAATTGATTTACGGAAACTGAGTTTACAAATAAATTTGGTAGCGCGTGGTAAAAAAGTTACCTCGAATAGATGGAGCGGATTCTAAGTTTCATTACAGTTTTAACGAACTTAAAAGTAATTTTGGTGCTAACTCAAAATATTTCAAAAGAACATGGTCTCTGTAAATAGCAATTATGCTCCAAATGATTCAATTCTGGCAACTAAGAAGCAGTTGGAGATATTCAGATATTTTCATGACATTATTCAGGCGGCATTTATTCCCATTGTTAACCCAAAATAGTGTAAGGACGAAAAACATCCCACATTTTCTTCCACACCAGAAACACAGTTAGGAAAATTTATAATTTTTAAAATTTAATTAATATATATTTTTTTAAATATATATTTTTAAATTCTTCACGTTTTTAAATTTTTTAAATTCACTGAAATTTTGGTAATCTTCGGCCAATCCAAACCAAAGTTATAAGCAAAAATGAACTTAGCATGGCACGTAAGTTATAAGAAACTTCCATATTTTTAGAGCTTCTACTGAAAAACTTACTTTTCAGACTTAGCATACTATGGTTCGGAGGCGTCGACATTTTTTTTATAAATATTAATTATTAAAATTTCTTATAATACTCTAAAAAGTTAAATTTTGGTTTATTTTGAATTTCAAACCCGAAAGGCCATAAACCGATAATTAGTTAACGATATTTTGTAACCCGTCGGACACCAGAAATACTAAATTGCAGTTATTTTCTTGAGCAGTCGTATTCCCCATATTTGACTCCTATTACTATTTTGTTACCAAATGTGAAGAAAAACACAACCATTGACAATATAAAACAAATAAGAACTGTATTAAGTTCGGCCCTGCCGAACTTTTTATACTTTTTTACCCTACACCATGAAGATGACAATCAAAATATATAAAATTACGTTAGAAAAAGATGATTGCAATTCTCAAAATATCTAATAGATCTCGATATTTTTGATAGTGAAATTTAACATCCAATTAAAATACAAAATACCAAAATCCCTAGTGGGTCTACCCTGAAACATGGATCAATATTAATAATTTTTATAATCGGACGGCACCGAGTCAAAAACGTCATATACCTGTATAAAATGTTAAATGACCTTTATTTGAATATTATTAACATATACAACCACTGCTATTGGGATTTGGAATATTCCAAATTGATTATAACTTTTTTAGGTGGGTTTCCGGTTTATATCCTTTTACGTCACTGTTTCAGGAGTAAATGTATACGCCATAGAATGTAATTTTTTATACAAATGTTTGGCTTGATTTAACCTGTTAAATATTGACCGATCATCATCAAAACTGCCATACTTATTACATGGCCTTATCCGTGTAAAAATTCGTGGCGTTCGTGTCAATATTGTGACCTCTGGAGCTACCAGAAAAACAAACTGAAATCAAGTTTTTCGCATATTTCATCCCCTAGATATTAACGGAAAATTCTTCTTTGCCCAGAACGGCACATTTTCGTTACAATTGGTTTAAAATAGAATAGGATACAGCGTTAAAAATTATGTTTAGATGGACGGTCGCAGACGGTCGAAAAATTCAAAGGGTCGATTGGTGCTATAAACATTAAAATATCCTCTGGCACTGCTTGATACTAGGTTCTGAAACTTATGAGTTTTATATACAAAATTGTTGATGGCTATCTTCAAATTTGTAATAATCACTTTCATTATAGTCTCCAGTTCCAGCTGTTTAGTTGACCGTCGTTCCATGTTAATATTTTGACACTTCAATTCAATTATAAATTTTATTTACAAAAATAAGAAAAAAATTTGGGTCGGTTTTATAAACTCATGGGGCCACACCAAGCTTTTATACTCTTACGCCATAGTTGTGTAGGGTATGAATATAGATTCGAACAGGTACCTTTAAACTAACCTCATATGACTTGTCTAGCCCATGTTTAGGACACTGTGCAACACAAAAAATAATTACCGGGAAATTCCAAAGCAGTAGAAATATAAAATAGAGATCAAAAATAGAAGATATGTGTATTGGGTTTTACAAAGTTTACATAGTATGATAATCTAAAATCTGAAAATATTCGGTTTTTTCTTAAATGTCAACCCTCAATGTACTAGTGCCCATTTACAGTAATGATTGGAAACTCATTAAAAACGGGGTTATAGCAGTTCAGAATATTCTACAAAAGTGTTCGCCATAAAGTTTTACCATGAGTCTCAGAATAGACAAAAGTCGAAAATCGGCCTAACGTCAAAAGTCTTAAACATTTAAAATCTCATTTTAAGGTTATAATCGCACTTATTTCTTGTTTGGACCAATTTTCCCACAATATGTCGTTTAAGAAAAGGATGATACCAATCGATAATTGAGTCGTTTATTTTGAGAGTGTTGTAAGTCCATGTAAGGTTCTTATACAAATCTTGGTTTTCTAGAAATATTTACATACATATTACTTTATATATTCGATCATTTTTAATGGCACAACGCAACAAACAAAATTAATAAAAATTTTTGAAAAAAATCAAACCCAAACCTTTAAATACCTCAAACTAAGAAAAAATGGACTTAAACTACTTTAAAAATAAACGACTCAATTATGGAGGTTGATATACTTCGATTTTCTTAAAACTGAAACAAATCAAACCCAAACCTTTAAATATCTCAAACTAAATGGACCTCAACCACTTTCAAAATAAACGACTCAATTATGGAGGTTGATATACTTAGATTTTCTTAAAACTTATTTTGGGGTCGACCATATAAATCATTATACTCTACTAGGATCGTGATCTAATAATGAAATACAGAGGGATGTTTAGGAGGTATATTCATGTGACAGAATTGCGAACTGAGGTATTAAAAATTGATTTTATATTTCACAGAAACATAAATCACATATTGCTCAATTCCACAAACCTAACCGCAATCAACTCATTTCTCTTCAAACACTGAAGAAATACATTGAACTTCTTCTTCAAAATAATTCGCTTTATTTTATTTTTAAAACTCACATCAAGTATATCAATACAACTTCAGTATGTTTGTATATAACATAGTAGGTAGCATTGGGGCAGGCTTTATATAAAGCTCCAAAAATAACATAAAAGACCGCAAAACAAAAACAAAGAAAATATCTTAAAAGAATACCATTTTTTTTGCGATACGCAATGCATTAAACAAAGGACAAAGCTAAACCACAAACCCAAACACTAAAGGTTGTCCATCACTTATAGAGAATATTCTCCGTGTTTGTGTTTGGCATTTTTGTTGGTTACAATACTAAGCCATCAAGAATGTGGTAAAACCCAATGGTATTAATAAATTCGCTTGGCATCAGACAGCCAACTAGCTAGCCGGTCAATCAAACAGCCAACGAGAGGGTCAACAATGAAAACAAGTTTTAAACACTAAAAGCTTGACAATTAATTGACGTAAACGGAAAACCGCCAAGCAAAGAGTGAAAAAACGCTACT